ATCTGTCTACGTAGGCGTCCGCACTACTGAGACAAACTCGAAAAAAACATATTTTCGTCTATGACTTGCGATCCCGTGAAGACACTTCTAAAAAGCCTACCCAAATAGGCATCAAAACTGGATTGGCTTATTAATACGTGAAAACTTAACCATGAAATTTCAATTCCAATTCCAATTAATTTTCAATTTGGATGGAATTGGATGAAAAACGAGAGATTGGAAATAAATTGGAATAAGCATTTTATCATTAATTGTGGTCGTGCTAGTAAACCGACCATGTTTGGACTGAAGGAGGAGATTCTAAAGCACATCTATTACACAGCATATCTGCATGGGATAGAAAGTTATAGACGAAAACATGCCAAAAATGTCTATGTTTTTCTGAGGTTGCTTTAGTTTCGTCTATGGTGGGCCGCCGGGATGTACGCGGATCACAACCTTCTTTTGTAGGCTTGGATTATTAAGTGATCGAGGAATTTTTGCCACAATTTCAGTTTTCTATGTTCATTTTTGCGACTCAATCTGATCAAATGATCCCTTGATATGAAACTAGAGAAAGATTGTAGATATTAGAAGGTCTTTCTGTACCAATAAAAATCAGTGAAACATTTCTTAACATTGGGTTTCTTAAACTTGTTTTTTTGAAGATAGAAGCTTAAAAAGGATGAAAATGACGTATTCAGCAATTCAGTTAATATACCATTTTTGACCGACATTGCCGAAAAGTATTAAAAGTGATTAAACAATGTTAGGAGGTTAATTCTTGAGCCGATTTTTATCAAAACGTCTCAAAACTTCAGTTTTTTTTCCGAATACAAAAGTCGTAAACACACATCAGATCGAATTTTTCGATTTCGATTTGTGTTGAGTTTTATTAAGCGTATTGATGCAGGACATGCACTTGTTAGTCTTGTTTTGTTTCAAATTGTTTTGAATATTATGTAACTGAACTCTTTAAAGCCATGTCGTTTCTCTTTGAAGTTCGCATCGATATTTTCTCTACATTTTTGCTTTAAGAGTACGGCTTTCATTATTGAAAAACTTTCTTAGCGTAAGGGTTAGTATTTTATTCACTTAGAAAGTGAAAGTTCGCTATGTAGAGTAAATTCCGCTTCGGAATAAGCTCTTAATCGTCTACTATGGGAGAAATGTACGAAAAATTAACATTTTCCTTTTTATAATATCGCATAAAATGTGAGCGTAAAAGCATAGTATATATACCATACCCCTCTTGTCGTACAAGGATATACTAAGTGTTTGCAGATGTATGCAACACGCGCAAGGAGATCGATTGATTTAAAATCACTTTTTAAATGTAGCCTTTTCTGTCCGTCTGTCTGTCTGTCCGTCTTGACTTTTCTTTGTGTTCAATATACTCGTCGCGGTTTTTGAAATATCTATTATTTGGTATACTGACGTGTTTTCGTCCAAGACCGAAATTGTTCGGACCATTTTTTCGAGCGTTTCCCACATAACGGCGCACTTTCAAAAATTATTTTATGAGTAAATGTACGGAGGTGTAAGGCATATAATCGTGGGCCGTGGCCCACTATAGTATGTTTACTTGTTTGTGTTTTACTAATTTAGTGTGCACGTTGAACAAACCAAGTCTATTTATAAACTTCATTAGTGGAATACAAGTTCCACGGTTTAGATTTTTATTGTCTTTAGGAACCCCGGCAGATGGCCAAGGTTTAAAAACTTGGACAACGAAATCTTCACTAAACCTTTTCGGTCATTGATATGGGTATCAACAATTATGCCGATACCCATGCCAGTCATTCATGCAATCACAATACATTTACGCTGATGCCTTCCCTTTTGAATGAACTTGTAAAGCTGAGTATAGAAAAAAGTTCGTGATATATTTTGTTATTTACGATTTTCTGTTTAAAAAGCCTGTTTAAAAATTATTCCTTCACTCTTGGGAAAGTATACTTATTCGTTTATTTTGCTTACGCTTTTTCATATATGCCTAAAATAAATACTCAAGTTGAGCCAAGACCCATGCATTATAAAACATAATTAATTAAAGTTTTTATGATAAGCAATAAAAAGAATAAGAGAGCTATTGAAAAAGGTAGCTTGAAACTAGAATCCTGTTGCTTACGTTTTTTGTGGCAATGGAATTAAATTCTAATTTGTTGACTCAAATAATTGCCGTTCAGAGTTTAAACCAATTGATACCGTACCGTACCGCAGCATAAGTTATTTTGAAATTATTGACTTTTAAGCGTAGGAGTCATCAACTGGAGTTTGAACGCGTACAAAATAAAAGGCACGTTTCGATGAGACGGTCTCTATTTAATTTTCACTTTTGTTGCTTTTCGTTAGCTAGATAAGATTATTAGTGCAAATAAACAGAGAGCAGACCGTTCGTTTATTGTTGTAACAACTATACGCAATATAATAAAAAAGGGATTCAATAACTCCTTCACCAGACTGCCAGTCTACTAAATCCTGCATTGTTTTCGTAATAAAGAGAAGTAGAGTTCGGTCTATGACATTTTTATCTCCCCTAAAAATAATAGAATCATTCTGGATTTGTTCCTCCGAAACATGCGTCAGGCACATCACAGGATGTGTACTCTTGTCAGCATCAAGCACTGAATGGACCTAACCGCACCCGTTCATTTGATTGAGATTTATTATAAATCAAATTTAATTTTCCTGTTTATGTGTCAGTTTGAATTTTTGCACCGTTTGCAGAATTAACAGTTACGCCGATTAGTTAATACAACTTGATTGAATGAATACATATTAATAATTATTACAAATTATGGATAAGCGACCAGGCAATCAATCAACTAATAATTTGTACGTGAACTACTTGCTAGTAAGAGTAGGCGACGGAATGATTCGCAATTGGGTGAACAAAGTTGAAAAAGTGTAGAAAAAAGATGTATGTATGTATGAAACGTATTTCAGATAATAGTCTAAAACTAAAAAGATAGGAATAGAAAGTTAAAATTTCGTACCGATGAATTGCCGAATGGGCGTCGAATTGAACCCTCAACTCTCAGATGCTATGAAATATAGACCCTTACTCTCAGACGTTTGGAATTTTTTTGAATTACTCTCAGATGTTTGGAATTTTTTTTGAATAACTCTCACTTATGTGAATTTGTCGGAAATTGTGAAACATAAGCAAAAATAAAAGGAATTAAAAAAAAAAAAAAGATAAGTAAAGAGAACGTCTTTATCATTAATCTCCAAAATTAATATTTTAATTAAACTACTTCTTGAAATTATTCTATGAACTCTCTATTCTCTTTTACTTATATTCAACTTTATTTTTATAAACATAAAACAATAGGATTAATTTTATTAATTCAAACAACAATGATCTGTTTAACTACAGGATTAGTTTCAAAAACTTTTTGATTTTCCTACATTTTATTTTTAGTATTTTTAAGAAGTATATTAGTATTATTTATTTATGTTACTTCCTTAGCTTCTAATAAAATATTTAGTGAGATTTTATTTTCGCTATTATTAGTACTTAGAGGAAAGCAACTCTGTGCTCTCTTCATACATGCTCCTTTTGCAGCTAACGGTTCTGCAAAATAGCAGAAATTTTGCAGGCGCCAACGCGCATTGCTTTGATCATTTCGATTGCACATGGTTGACTGGTAAGTATGTTGTTGAAGTTTTTTTACATTTAATTTTTTTTTTATTTTTTTTTTTTTTTTATTATTTGAAGCGTTTACAAGACCACCCTTAATTACATCAACGAAAAATCATGTTGACACTGTTAATAAGATGGTGGAAAAGTTCTGCGGAAAAGTAAATGGATAAGGAGGAAAAGGCGCTTTCGCTTCGTGCACTGAAAGGAAGGAATTCTTTTAAATGGACCGGTAGAATACATGATATACATAGATACAATCGAGAGTTACTTTTATAAAGTTCGTTTCTTTGTAATCTAGGTATCATCACCAGTCTGCACAGGGATTTTGGAATCATAACTAAGAGTATATTCTTTGTAACAGATACCTTGTCCATTCCTAGCGAAATGAGAAAGGGTTCCCGCGGTTTGAATTTTTGAATCAAAAGTATTGGAGTGAAATGTATTTTTACCAATTTTACCAGATTCAAGACGAGATAAACTGCGTTGATAATGATGCCTACGTCGGTTGTGATTTGCCGGCAACATTGTCTGACCTAGGGGACAGTTAATAATCAAGATAATTGAATTACTTTTAATCATTCATACCTATGCCAAATAATTAACTAATACCAAATTTTGCATTCATTATAACTTTTGTTAATCAACGATTGGCAAAATTTTAATAAAAATGTATTTAATCCGGCTTTTATTGGTGTCCCCATCGTATTCTTTCTTTCATTCTGTCGAAAAACATTGCTTTCACAATTTCATTAGTGGTTTAATGTAAATTAAATAAAATAAAAAAATGAGATCAATCCAAACGTTACAAACATTCGATATGTAGACAAGCAGACAATTGCACAACAATTTGCATTTCTTTCTTCACAACTTTATTAATTTTTTTTTTTTCTTTTTTGTATTCACATTTCAAAACGCAAAGTAATGAATGAAATGCCACAATAATTCGACAAATAGTACTTGCACTTAATGTATGGCAATAGTTACGCGATAAGTATTATTTACAATTATTAAATGCATTAGCGCTTATCTCTGCCTTTTCCCCCATGTCTCCTGTTCATTCAAATTTTTCATTTGCACACATATAGTCTTAGTGAAGCCTTTATTTGCTTTAATTACAGTATCGTTTTCAATCTACAAATCTCCCTCCTCGACAGCACTTATTATTACATCCTATATTATTCTAATTTGAGTATGTTTCAAACGTTTTGCTCATATTCGTCCTAATTCAAATTCCGAGCTTGATCCGCTATCACACTGATCCTTCTCAATGACTACTGGTTTTAAAAAAATCTTTTATTGAAGTCTGTTTTCCCTCATCTCGTTTCAACTCATCACACCTTTTCACTTATTGTCAATTTTTCGGAAATTGTGAATATTGAAATTTAATTGTCAATTACAAATCAATCAGGCGTTCAACTTTCACTTATCGATTGGATTGATTACCATTTTCGTTGGTATTTTGGGACAAAATCATTTCATTGTCCAAGTAACCAAGCGTTCTGTGCGTTTATTGCAGGGCAGAAGGCTGATACAGAATGTGCCTATCGACGAAGGAGGGCCCGTAGTGCAGGTTTCCATTATCGATCCCTATGTGTGTCTAAGAGTTTTGCATGGAAAAGTAATAACTTTAGCTTTGCGTGAAACCAGAGGTACCCCTCGCCTGGCTATTAATAAAAATACAATAAGCAGTTCTCCGGCGGTTGTTTCACTGACTGCGTATAAGGATCTTTCCGGCTTGTTTACAACAAAATCCGATGAAGTTTTGAATATTGCGGGCGGTAGTGGTAATTCTCTGTATAACGGATTGGGCTACATGAAAGCTGAACCTCACCTGAAAATAGAAGACGAGGAAGATTTACTTTACGGTGAATCAGGAAACGCATTCAAAATGAACAGCATGGCCGATTTAGCGAAGCAAAGTAGACAAAAAAATTCTGATTGGTGGCGTCGTTCATTAGTGCAAATAAAGCCCACTTATTGGTTGGTGGTAGCTAGAGAAAACGGGACATTGGAAATTTATTCAATGCCAGATATGAAACTCATGTATCTAGTAAACGACGTAGGTAATGGCGGCATTGTTCTTTCCGATTCGATGGAATTTGTACCTGCCACACTCAATCAACAAGACAATAAACAAGGTATACTTCTAAATTGTATGCCACAGCATGCAAATTCACCTGTTGCTCGAGAAATAGCTTTAGTTGGCCTAGGCAACAACGGCAGCCGTCCACTATTGATGATACGAACTCATATAGAGCTGTTGATATATTACGTCTATCGCTATGCAAAGGGCCATTTGAAAATACGTTTTCGCAAATTACATAGTGTGAACTTGATTGATGTGCAACCCACCGCAATGGATATAGATGACGAAGACTCGGATCTAGATTCATACAATTTGCAAGATCGTTATATAAGCAAGCTACGCTATTTTCCCAATATCACAGGGTTAAACGGTGTCGTTTTATGTGGTCCGAATCCAAGCCTTATATTTCTGACTGGTAAAGGCGAGCTACGTGTCCATAAATTATTTAGTAATGGACTGGTAAGGAGTTTTGCCCCTTTCAACAATGTTAATTGCCCGCAAGGCTTTCTATGTTTCGATACAACATTCGATTTGAAAATTTGTGTTCTACCGCCTTATTTAACATACGATTCACCATGGCCGGTGCGTAAAGTAACACTTCGTTGTACGCCACGGCAGATTGTCTACCATCGAGAGAATCGAGTTTACTGCCTGGTCACGCAAGCAGAAGAAGTAACTAACAAATATTATCGCTTTAACGGTGAAGATAAAGAATTGACCGAGGAAAATAAGGGCGAACGATTTATATATCCCAATGCTTCACTCTTCAGTATGGTTTTGATAAGTCCAGAAACTTGGGAAATTGTACCTGATGCTTCGATTGAATTTGAGAGTTGGGAACATGTAACCGATTTCAAGATTGTTAAATTGGCCTACGAAGGCACGCGATCTGGTCTCAAGGAATATTTATGCTTAGGCACAAATTTTAACTACAGTGAGGACATAACTTCTCGCGGCAACATACACATATATGATATAATTGAAGTTGTACCAGAGCCAGGAAAACCGTTAACTAAATTCAAATTAAAAGAAGTGTTTAAGAAAGAGCAAAAAGGTCCTGTATCAGCTATATCCGATGTTTTAGGCTTTCTAGTTACTGCTCTAGGGCAAAAAATCTACCTATGGCAATTGAAGGACGATGACCTTTGCGGCGTAGCGTTTATTGATACCAACATATATGTGCATCAAATTATCTCTGTTAAATCTTTAATATTGATTGCTGATGTGTACAAATCGGTTAGTTTGCTGCGCTTCCAAGAAGAGTTTCGAACTTTATCGCTGGCTTCACGTGACTTCAATCCTCTTGAAGTGTTCACTATAGAATTTATGGTCGACAATACAAATTTGGGTTTTTTAGTTACCGACGCTGATAAAAATTTTATAGTGTATATGTACCAGCCAGAAATTCGGGAATCAATAGGTGGTCAAAAACTGATACGCAAAGGAGACTATCATTTGGGTCAAACCGTTAACACTATGTTTCGCGTTCAATGTCATCAACGTGGACTATACCATCGTCAACCTTTCATGTACGAGAACAAGCATTTGGTAATGTTCGGAACATTAGGCAAGTAAACAGAATTTTCGGTGCGCGAAGTAATTAAAGTCGCCATAGGCGACTTTTGAATACCTCCCTAATTTATTATTAAAATGAATTCCACTTCATCTATTTCAGACGGCGGCATGGGATATTGTGTACCTCTGCCGGAAAAGGTGTACAGACGTTTTTTAATGCTACAAAATGTCCTAATCACCTATCAGGAACATTTGTGTGGTCTCAACCCGAAAGAATTTCGCACCATTAAATATGTTAAGCGGTTATCATTGAATCCGTCACGCTGTATTATAGACGGCGATTTGATTTGGTCATTTACAATGATGACTGTGGCAGAACGAAATGAAGTCGCAAAAAAAATTGGTACCAAAACTGAAGATATTCTGAACGACCTTTTGGAAATTGAGAATCTGACGGCGATATTCTGAATAAATAGGAATTGAATTAAAAACTGATTTTTATTGAAGTAAGACATGTATAATCCCGCGCTTTTCATATTTCAATTTAATTCATAAAATTTCTACATGATTTTTGTTCCTTGTTGATTTTGTTGTCGATTAATTTTCACATTTATTTGTCGTTTCTTTTCATTTCTAAATGCCTCTGCGTTTGCCTTTCTTTCTATACGACGTTCGTTGCGATATTCCTTCACCAATCTTTTGCGTTCACGTCTTTCTTCACATGTTTCATCTTTAGGCCTAATAGACAAAACACTTAAAGTCGACAACACCGATTTGTCACATAGTGACTTAGGAGCCGCGAAACTGCTTCGCCCACCTTCAAGTTTTGCTAGAGCTTTCGCAGTAACTTTATTGCTCCCACCACGCAAAACGTTCATAGGTATACCAGTTTTAGGATCAATAACAAATTTTCTGGTTTTGTGCTTCTTGCGCAGAACAGGATGTGCAACGTGATCTGTTTTTAGGCTCCTCAATCAACTTCGGGTGATTACATATATTTGAATATGTATTGGATTCGAATTTTACCCAAATTTCTAAAATAATAAAATTAAACGATATACAATCGGATAATAAACCCAATAGTTTATTCCTTATACAATACCTCATCTGCCTTCATTATAATGTATTAAAAGTTATAGCATGTAGCGTTATGTGGTAAAGGCTGGGTACGTAAATTTTAAAAATAATTTTTTGCACAGATCCGCTTGATCAGCGTTATAGGCCCGCAGTTGAGGGACTACATTATAACAGATCTTTCCCGTAAAGATCTAAAAAGCGCGGTAAACCACTTCCTGGCTGTACTGACCGTTAAATCCATACGAGCAGCACCTAATGAATCCCGGCAGAGCTGTCGCAAGCTGAAACATGCAAGTTGAACCTCAAATTTGGATTGTGTATAAAACCCTCTAAAAATCATAAAGTTGAAAAGACACGTCCGCGCATGGATAACGATATAATAATCAATAGAAATCGAAAGCCACCTACAAAGTCCTAGTTCCCAAATGGCTTACATGCGGAAGGCCAGATAGGGCTGTTATACACCGTGATGTAGAAGATTTAAACAACACACGTTTTGTACAGCTAGTCATGTATGACTGAAACCGTACAACTAAATTAGTAAGGAGCTCGGTAAAATTATGCAAAAGTAGTCAATGATCAAGAGCAGTCGTTTCAAGAGAAATCATTATAAATATTGCAGACAAGTTGCAGCAGGTTTGTCGTAACAGACTTGCCTTTAATAAAGCAATACTAGCACTTGGTCGAAACTGGATCGAAACGAATCATCCGCGATCGTTTTACCTGGTCATATGAGATTTTACATTTAAATTTTAACCTATTTTTTTACTATATGTTTTCGTATTTTATTTGTGGCAATTATAAAGTTTGCGATACATGCCGTTTCAAGGGCGCTTCTAACGGAATGATAAAACATACTAGTTTGTCAATCTCTCTCACTGAATATATATATATAGCCTTTTAAAGGTCAGAACAATTTTTGCGCTCTTTTTTTTTTGCAATCACTGTCAAGGAACTACATTCATTGTTCATTTCATTGCAGTGCCCTATGAAAAGCAGCTAAGTATTCTTTCTATAAATAAAGATATTTTACATCACTTTTCCAGTCTGTACACCTATTGAAAATAAAATTAAACAATCAAATTGTGCTTAAGATGTGCGTATATTATATAAATAAAAACAAGTTACACTAAAACCGAAAATTTGCGTTTCATGTAAAATGCCCCCAGGGAACCGCATAAAGTAGTTAATGTGTTAATTAACAATAAATACGACGTATGAAATAAGACATCCAAGCATGTACTTGGCTGTATCAATTTTGTACGCTTCATTTCCAAGTTCAATTCAAAGTGACTTCACCAGTTTTTCATTGCATATCGTAATCGTCTTGACTAAACAGGTTTAGCTTTTGATCTTTAGTGAAATTTTTAATGCTCAAGAAATATAAGATTGGAAATTGAGCTATAGGAGTTCTAACCTATGAATCCATGTTTTAGAGGCAGAAATTAAGTGGCTTTTATATTGAAAGTATATTTTTTTCCCCGAATGAATTAAAAAAAGTAATATTGTTATATTTTGAACTTAATTTCAACTTGCTTAACTTTCAATAACGACCGAAATAGAGTAATTCATGGTAATATTATTACCATGTAACTTTCATTCTACCGCATTGAGTGGCTAAAAAATATTGTCTTATTTGGAATGATGGTTATAACATTCGAGGGTCAAGCTGAAGATAAGATAAACTTCAAAATCAGGTATATATAACACACATACATATAAGATATATACTTTTATGCACTTATACATATGTACATGTACACACTTCTACAGACAGGCCGTAGAAATTGTGAAGAATTTGTTTACTTATAATAAGAGAAAATATAGAGAAAACTGGCAAAACAAAACTGTCTGACAAGAAGTAGAAGTATATATGTATGTATATATATATACGTATGTATATTTTAGATAGATATTATAAGATACATATTGTAAAGCGACCTTCAAATATCTGTAACACAATTTTAGAACATTTTATGCTGGTATTCATCTTACATAATTTAAGAAGAAGATTAACGCAAGTGAAGATCTAGAACATCCATGTTTAGATCATTTTCGCAAGAACTATGTTGTAATGATTCGCTTTCAATAAGAAGCTAATGTGCAAGTGCTACGAATCATCGAAGACATCCTCTCCATTAAAAAGCAATGAAATTAGTAAAAATAA